GTACGTGAGACAGGGTGACACAGTACGTGTGACAGGGTGACACAGTACAGGGTGACACAGTACGTGTGACGGGGTGACACAGTACGTGTGACGGGGTGACACAGCACGTGAGACAGGGTGACACAGTATGTGAGACAGGGTGACACAGTACGTGTGACAGGGTGACACAGTGAGACAGGGTGACACAGTACGTGTGATGGGGTGACACAGTACGTGTGACGGGGTGACACAGTACAGGGTGACACAGTACGTGAGACAGGGTGACACAGTACGTGTGACAGGGTGACACAGTACAGGGTGACACAGTACGTGTGACAGGGTGACACAGTACGTGTGACGGGGTGACACAGTACGTGACACAGGGTGACACAGTACGTGTGACAGGGTGACACAGTACGTTGAGACAGGGTGACACAGTACGTGTGACGGGGTGACACAGTACGTGACACAGGGTGACACAGTACGTGTGACGGGGTGACACAGTACGTGTGACGGGGTGACACAGTACGTGAGACAGGGTGACACAGTACGTCAGACAGGGTGACACAGTACAGGGTGACACAGTACGTGTGACAGGGTGACACAGTACGTGGGTGACACAGTACGTGAGACAGGGTGACACAGCACGTGTGACAAGGTGACACAGTACGTGACACAGGGTGACACAGTACGTGTGACGGGGTGACACAGTACGTGTGACAGGGTGACACAGTACGTGAGACAGGGTGACACAGTACGTGTGACGGGGTGACACAGTACGTGTGACGGGGTGACACAGTACGTGTGACGGGGAGACACAGTACGTGTGACAGGGTGACACAGTACGTGTGACAGGGTGACACAGTACGTGTGACAGGGTGACACAGTACATGAGACAGGGTGACCGTGAGACACGGTGACACAGTACGTGAGACAGGGTGACACAGCACGTGTGACAGGCTGACACAGTACGTGGGTGACACAGTACGTGTGACAGGGTGACACAGTACGTGTGACAGGGTGACACAGTAGGTGAGACAGGGTGACACAGTGAGACAGGGTGACACAGTACGTGAGACAGGGTGACACAGTACGTGTGACAGGGTGACACAGTGAGACAGGGTGACACAGTACGTGAGACAGGGTGACACAGTACGTGTGACAGGGTGACACAGTACAGGGTGACAGGGTGACACAGTACGTGGGTGACACAGTACAGGGTGACACAGTACGTGTGACGGGGTGACACAGTACGTGAGACAGGGTGACACAGTACGTGTGACAGGGTGACACAGTACGTGTGACAGGGTGACACAGTACGTGTGACGGGGTGACACAGTACATGTGACAGGGTGACACAGTACGTGTGACAGGGTGACCTAGTACGTGAGACAGGGTGACACAGTACGTGTGACGGGGTGACACAGTACGTGTGACAGGGTGACACAGTGAGACAGGGTGACACAGTATGTGAGACAGGGTAACACAGTACGTGTGACGGGGTGACACAGTACGTGACACAGGGTGACACAGTACGTGTGACAGGGTGACACAGTAGGTGAGACAGGGTGACACAGTGAGACAGGGTGACACAGTACGTGAGACAGGGTGACACAGTACGTGTGACAGGGTGACACAGTGAGACAGGGTGACACAGTACGTGAGACAGGGTGACACAGTACGTGTGACAGGGTGACACAGTACAGGGTGACACAGTACGTGTGACGGGGTGACACAGTACGTGTGACGGGGTGACACAGCACGTGAGACAGGGTGACACAGTATGTGAGACAGGGTGACACAGTACGTGTGACAGGGTGACACAGTGAGACAGGGTGACACAGTACGTGTGATGGGGTGACACAGTACGTGTGACGGGGTGACACAGTACAGGGTGACACAGTACGTGAGACAGGGTGACACAGTACGTGTGACAGGGTGACACAGTACAGGGTGACACAGTACGTGTGACAGGGTGACACAGTACGTGTGACGGGGTGACACAGTACGTGACACAGGGTGACACAGTACGTGTGACAGGGTGACACAGTACGTTGAGACAGGGTGACACAGTACGTGTGACGGGGTGACACAGTACGTGACACAGGGTGACACAGTACGTGTGACGGGGTGACACAGTACGTGTGACGGGGTGACACAGTACGTGAGACAGGGTGACACAGTACGTGTGACGGGGTGACACAGTACGTGTGACGGGGTGACACAGTACGTGAGACAGGGTGACACAGTACGTCAGACAGGGTGACACAGTACAGGGTGACACAGTACGTGTGACAGGGTGACACAGTACGTGGGTGACACAGTACGTGAGACAGGGTGACACAGCACGTGTGACAAGGTGACACAGTACGTGACACAGGGTGACACAGTACGTGTGACGGGGTGACACAGTACGTGTGACAGGGTGACACAGTACGTGAGACAGGGTGACACAGTACGTGTGACGGGGTGACACAGTACGTGTGACGGGGTGACACAGTACGTGTGACGGGGAGACACAGTACGTGTGACAGGGTGACACAGTACGTGTGACAGGGTGACACAGTACGTGTGACAGGGTGACACAGTACATGAGACAGGGTGACCGTGAGACACGGTGACACAGTACGTGAGACAGGGTGACACAGCACGTGTGACAGGCTGACACAGTACGTGGGTGACACAGTACGTGAGACAGGGTGACACAGTACGTGTGACAGGGTGACACAGTACGTGTGACAGGGTGACACAGTACGTGAGACAGGGTGACACAGTGTGACAGGGTGACACAGTGTGACAGGGTGACACAGTATGTGAGACAGGGTGACATAGTACAGGGTGACACAGTAAGTGAGACAGGGTGACACAGTACGTGAGACAGGGTGACACAGTACAGGGTGACACAGTATGTGTGACGGGGTGACACAGTACGTGATACAGGGTGACACAGTACGTGTGACAGGGTGACACAGTACGTGTGACAGGGTGACACAGCACGTGTGACAGGGTGACACAGTACGTGATACAGGGTGACACAGTACGTGTGACAGGGTGACACAGTACGTGTGACAGGGTTACACAGTACGTGTGACGGGGTGAAACAGTACATGAGACAGGGTGACACAGTACAGGGTGACACAGTACGTGTGACAGGGTGACACAGTACGTGTGACGGGGTGACACAGTACGTGTGACGGGGTGACACAGTACATGTGACGGGGTGACACAGTGAGACAGGGTGACACAGTACGTGAGACAGGGTGACACAGTGAGACAGGGTGACACAGTGTGACAGGGTGACACAGTACGTGACACAGGGTGACACAGCACGTGACACAGGGTGACACAGCACGTGAGACAGGGTGACACAGCACATGTGACAGGGTGACACAGTACGTGTGACAGGGTGACACAGTAGGTGAGACAGGGTGACACAGTGAGACAGGGTGACACAGTACAGGGTGACACAGTACGTGTGACAGGGTGACACAGCACGTGAGACAGGGTGACACAGTGAGACAGGGTGACACAGTGAGACAGGGTGACACAGTACGTGTGACAGGGTGACACAGTACAGGGTGACGGGGTGACACAGTACGTGAGACAGGGTGACACAGTACGTGAGACAGGGTGACACAGTACGTGAGACAGGGTGACACAGTGAGACAGGGTGACACAGTACGTGAGACAGGGTGACACAGTGAGACAGGGTGACACAGTGAGACAGGGTGACACAGTGAGACAGGGTGACACAGTACGTGTGATGGGGTGACACAGTGAGACAGGGTGACACAGTACGTGAGACAGGGTGACACAGCACGTGAGACAGGGTGACACAGTGAGACAGGGTGACACAGTACGTGTGACGGGGTGACACAGTGAGACAGGGTGACACAGTGAGACAGGGTGACACAGTGAGACAGGGTGACACAGTGAGACAGTGTGACACAGTACAGGGTGACACAGTACGTGTGATGGGGTGACACAGAACGTGAACAGGCGATGCTATGACTTTAGAAAACGCTCGTTTTTGTGCCACTAAGACATAAAGAAACAAGATTTGGCGCTTTCGTCACTGCAGGCATGACTCTTTGCTTTATTTCGGCAAAGTCACGTAGAAATAGTAAAGAATACAATGACACAACAGCATACTGCGTTTCGATTTGCAACGCGAGCAATCATCATCATCATCAGGCACAGAAGAGGATACACAGAACGGCAGAATGTATATACACGGACCACCCTAAGCGGAGGGGATTAACACAGAGACACCAGGGGGATACAGAGAGAGAGAGACGGACACTGATTTAGTGTGCTCCTCCATCTCTCTCTCTCTGCATCCCCTGGTGTCTCTGTGTTAATCCCCTCCGCTTAGGGTGGCCCGTGTACATACATCTGCCGTTCTGTGTATCCTCTCCCTCTCTCTCTCTCTTAAATGTAGCTCTTCTGTAGCTCGTGTTGCAAGTCGAAACGTCGCATGCCAATACGAAGGGTAAATAAATCAAGAGTTTGATTCGCGGGCGCCTCAAGCACAGGTTAAGGCGTAGCTTGTTTTTTTTTGGTTCGTCGAAAGCTGCGCCTACACCCCTCACCACCACCGCTCACCAGTGCCAATGCTCACCACCACCACCACTCACCACCACCGCTCACCACCACCGCTCACCAGTGCCAATGCTCACCACCACCACCACTCACCAGTGCCAATGCTCACCACTAGTACTACCCCTCACCACCACCACCGCTCACCAGTGCCAATGCTCACCACTACCACCCCTCACCACCACCGCTCACCAATGCCAATGCTCACCACCACCACCACTCACCAGTGCCAATGCTCACCACTAGTACTACCCCTCACCACCACCACCGCTCACCAGTGCCAATGCTCACCACTACCACCCCTCACCACCACCACCACTCACCAATGCCAATGCTCACCACTACCACCCCTCACCACCACCGCTCACCAGTGCCAATGCTCACCACCACCACCACTGCCCCTCACCACCACCATCACTCACCAAGGGCAGTGATGGTCCATCTTCAATACGCACCTGAAAGAGGCAGACAATGGGAAGATACGCGGCGGGGACACACGGAGACAAGGAGACACGGGGAGACACGGGGAGACAAGGAGACACAGGGGGAGACACGGAGACACACGATAATACGTGGGAGACACGGGGAGACAAGGAGACACAGGGAGAGACAGGGAGACACGGAGACACAGGGAGACAAATAGACACACGGGCAGACGTGGAGAGACACGGGGACACAGAGACACACGGGGAGACAGGCAGACACATGGGGAGACGTGGGAGACACGGGGACACACGGAGAGACACGGAGACACAGGGAGACAAAGAGACACACGGCGAGACACAGACAGACACGGAGACACAGAGACACACGGGGAGACAGGGAGACACATGGGGAGACGTGGGAGACACGGGGACACACGGAGAGACACAGGGAGACAAAGAGACACACGGCGAGACACAGAGAGACACGGAGACAGGGAGACACATGGTGATACGTGGGAGACACGGAGACACACGGGGAGACAGGCAGACACACGGGGAGACGCGGAGAGACACGTGGGAGACACGGAGACACACGGAGACACAGAGACACACGGGGAGACACGGAGAGACAGGGAGACACACGGTGAGACACAGATAGACACGGGGAGACACGCAGAGATGCGGAGACACACAGGGAGACACAGAGACACACGGGGAGACACAGAGACACACAAGGAGACATAGAGACACACAGCGAGACACAGAGACACACGGGGAGACACTGAGACACACGGGGAGACACAGACACACAGAGAGACACAGATAGACACAGGGAGACACGGGGAGAAACGGAGACACACGGGGAGACATGGAGACACACGGGGAGACACAGACACACAGAGACACAGATAGACACGAGGAGACACGGGGAGACACGGGAACACACGGGGAGACACAGACACACAGAGAGACACAGAGACACACGGAGAGACACGGGGAGACACGGGGAGACACAGACACACAGAGAGACACGGAGACACACGGGGAGACACGGGGAGACACGGGGAGACACAGAGACACACGGGGAGACACACGGGGTGACACAGACACACAGAGACACACGGGGAGACACAGACACACAGAGACACACGGGGAGACACAGAGACACACGGCGAGACACAGACACACAGAGACACACGGGGAGACACGGAGACACACAGGGAGACACAGATGGTCGTGGTGTGGTGTTAGTGTATAGTGCAAGGGTGTAGTGTTAGTGTGTAGTGTTAGTGTGTAGTGTTAGTGTGTAGTGTTAGTGTGTAGTGTTAGTGTGTAGTGTTAGTGTGTAGTGTTAGTGTGTAGTGTTAGTGTGTAGTGTTAGCGTGTAGTGTTAGCGTGTAGTGTTAGCGTGTAGTGTGTAGTGTTAGTGTGTAGTGTTAGTGTGTAGTGTTAGTGTGTAGTGTTAGTGTGTAGTGTTAGTGTGTAGTGTTAGTGTGTAGTGTTAGTGTGTAGTGTTAGTGTGTAGTGTTAGTGTGTAGTGTTAGTGTGTAGTGTTAGTGTGTAGTGTTAGCGTGTAGTGTTAGCGTGTAGTGTTAGCGTGTAGTGTTAGCGTGTAGTGTTAGCGTGTAGTGTTAGTGTGTAGTGTTAGTGTGTAGTGTTAGCGTGTAGTGTTAGTGTGTAGTGTTAGTGTGTAGTGTGTAGTGTTAGTGTGTAGTGTTAGTGTGTAGTGTTAGTGTGTAGTGTGTAGTGTTAGTGTGTAGTGTTAGTGTGTAGTGTTAGTGTGTAGTGTTAGTGTGTAGTGTTAGTGTGTAGTGTTAGTGTTAGTGTGTAGTGTTAGTGTGTAGTGTGTAGTGGTAGTGTGTAGTGTTAGTGTGTAGTGTTAGTGTAGTGTGTAGTGTAGTGTGTAGTGTGTAGTGTTAGTGTGTAGTGTTAGTGTGTAGTGTTAGTGTGTAGTGTTAGTGTGTAGTGTTAGTGTGTAGTGTTAGTGTGTAGTGTGTGGGTGTAGTGTTAGTGTGTAGTGTTAGTGTGTAGTGTTAGTGTGTAGTGTTAGTGTGTAGTGTTAGTGTGTAGTGTTAGTGTGTAGTGTGTGGGTGTAGTGTTAGTGTGTAGTGTTAGTGTGTAGTGTTAGTGTGTAGTGTTAGTGTGTAGTGTTAGTGTGTAGTGTTAGTGTGTAGTGTTAGTGTGTAGTGTTAGTGTGTAGTGTTGGTGTGTAGTGTTAGTGTGTAGTGTTAGTGTGTAGTGTTAGTGTGTAGTGTTAGTGTGGAGTGTTACTGTGTAGTGTTAGTGTGTAGTGTTAGTGTGTAGTGTTAGTGTGTAGTGTTAGTGTGTAATGTTAGTGTATAGTGTTAGTGTGCAGTGTTAGTGTGTAGTGTTAGTGTGTAGTGTTAGTGTGTGGGTGTAGTGTGTAGTGTATGTAGTGTATAATCTTAGTGTGTAGAGTTAGTGTGTAGTGTGTGGGTGTAGTGTTAGTGTGTAGTGTTAGTGTGTAGAGTTAGTGTGTAGTGTTAGTGTGTAGTGTTAGTGTGTGGGTGTAGTGTGTAGTGTATGTAGTGTATAGTGTTAGTGTGTAGTGTTAGTGTGTAGTGTGTAGTGTGTGGGTGTAGTGTTAGTGTATAGTGTATGTTAGTGTGTAGTGTATGTTAGTGTGTAGTGTTAGTGTGTAGTGTTTAGTGTTAGTGTGTAGTGTTAGTGTGTAGTGTTAGTGTGTAGTGTTAGTGTGTGCGTGTAGTGTTAGTGTGTAGTGTTAGTGTGTAGTGTGTGGGTGTAGTGTATAGTGTGTAGTGTTAGTGTGTAGTGTGTGGGTGTAGTGTGTGGGTGTAGTGTTAGTGTGTAGTGTTAGTGTGTAGTGTTAGTGTGTAGTGTTAGTGTGTAGTGTATGTTAGTGTGTTAGTGTTAGTGTGTAGTGTTAGTGTGTAGTGTGTGGGTGTAGTGTGTGGGTGTAGTGTTAGTATGTGGGTGTAGTGTGTAGTGTTAGTGTGTAGTGTTAGTGTGTAGTGTTAGTGTGTAGTGTTAGTGTGTAGTGTGTGGGTGTAGTGTTAGTTTGTAGTGTTAGTGTGTAGTGTTAGTGTGTAGTGTGTGGGTGTAGTGTTAGTGTGTAGTGTTAGTGTGTAGTGTTAGTGTGTAGTGTTAGTGTGTAGTGTTAGTGTGTAGTGTTAGTGTGTAGTGTTAGTGTGTAGTGTTAGTGTGTAGTGTTAGTGTATAGTGTTAGTGTGTAGTGTTAGTGTGTAGTGTTAGTGTGTAGTGTGTGGGTGTAGTGTGTGGGTCACTCACGAATCACAGACAGAGCAATGGTGACACCGATCCGGCTTCACCAGCTGACACCGCTCACAGTAGCGGATCGCTGTGACACACACGGTGACACACACACACGGTGACACACACACGGTGACACACACACACACCGTGACACACACACGGTGACACACACACACACACGGTGACACACACGGTGACACACACGGTGACACACACACACACGGTGACACACACACGGTGACACACACACGGTGACACACACACGGTGACACACACACGGTGACACACACACACAGTGACGCACACACACATGGTGACACACACACACGGTGACACACACACGGTGACACACACACGGTGACACATACACACACGGTGACACACACACGGTGACACACACACACGGTGACACACACACACGGTGACACACACACACGGTGACACACACGGTGACACACACACACACACACGGTGACACACACGGTGACACACACACGGTGACGCATGGTCACACACACGGTGATACACACACGGTGACACACACACACACATGATACAATAACAACAACCGCCATTCACCACTAAGTGGCGGTGACGTCACCACGACGCTTGTGCCAGGCCATGTGCACCCTGAGGCCACGTGAAGTGTCGAACGCCCGCTGGCAGGAGGTCACGGGGCAGACCCAGCAGGTGCCACGGGTCGACTGACTGAGATGACTGAGATGACTGGCTGATGCACCACCTGTGCCCCCTACTGTGCCAACCTGCTGTGCTTTAGCCACCCGGAGCTCGCTCGTTGTTGTGAGCGTCGCTCCTCCGCCCTCCGTTGTTGTTGGAGGGCCCTTTGATGTGAGCTTTGAGAAGTGGGTGTTACCCGCAGCATTCTATCAAAAGGTTGCTTAGCCCAGCCCTCCCACCCACCCATGCCCCCTTACTGACTCCTCCCCCCTACCTTAACCTGTATATAATCCAAGGTTGTCTCTGAACTGTGCTCCTGACACAGATATTCTACGTTGACTTTTCCACCTGAAGACAGAAGCTTGTGTCGCCTCCGAAACGTCGTGATTTAATTGTTTTATTTTGTTTTATTTTATCTACGTGACTTTACCGAATAAAACCAAAGAGTAAATATGGCATCTGTGCAGGACCGCCCTTTACTGAAACCACATTGGGGCTCCGCAAGCCTCTCCTCAGCGTGCCTAGCGAGGCGATGTTGAATAATCCTTGCCAGGACCTTTACCTGGCACACTGAGGAGTGAGATGCCCCTGTAGTTGTTACAGTCTGTGCGGTCCCCCTTCTTAAAGAGGGGGACCACCAGGGCATCCTTCCAGTCCTGCGGAACCTGTCCAGCGGTCCAGACTGTTGTTATGATGTCATGTAGGGCAGTCTGTGCACAAACGCCGCCCTCCCTCAGCATTTCGCTTGGGAGATCATCTCTGCCCGCTGCCTTTCCTGGTCTCAGACTCCGGATCGCCTTCAGTACTTCCTCAACAGATGGCACCTCAGCCAGCCAATCACAGGGGGTGACTTTTTCCCCCAATATTTCAGGCACCGCAGCCTCAGCAGGGTCATCCCCACTTTGTGCCATGATGTTTCCTGGCTGAGGGATTTCCCTTCCCCCAAGACCTCAGAAATGCTCAGAAAATCTGCAAACCTGTTCCTGAGATTGGATCACCGTTCTTTCCCCGAATGATGGTAATAGGTGTGGCGCTGCAAGAGACTTTTTGATGGAATTAAAGAGTGATTTGTAATCGCGGGCCACTGAGGCAGACTCCATCTCCTCAGCAACCCGCGACCACCACCCATCCTTGCAGCGCCTCACGGCTCTCCGAACCTCTGAGCGAAGGCTGCGGTAAGTCTCCTTATTCTCGGACGTGGGATGCTGTAGACGATGACAGTGGGCATGTCGCTTTTTCTCAGCCAGCCTGAACAACTCCTCTGTCAGCCAGGGTCTCTGGGGAGGTCGGGACCGCGTACCCAAAGCAGCCATTGCAGCTGCATAAGCCACAGTCCTAAACCTCACCCATTTACCCTCGACATCAGGAGGCGTGGGGGACAATGCTAACTCCAGCCACAAGCGATGATGAAATTCTCGCTTGCAACTTTCATCAGCTACCTGAGACCAGGCCACTTTAGGTTGGAATGGGGTCCTGGGTGTACACCCACCACCGGAGTGGAAGAATGGCAGGCGCATCTTACAGATGACTAGTCGATGGTCAGTGGGCAGATCAGCTCCACGGTAGGTCCTGGTGTCAAGGACATGGGCCCACATCCACTGTTCCGTTACTATGTAGCCCAGCAGATGTTCTTGCTTGGACCCGGAATGAATCCATGATGTTGTGTGGATGCGCCGATGCCAGAACAGCGTGTTGGTAATTACAAGCCCATGGGCTGCACAAAAATCTAGCAGCCTCCTACCGTTGTTATTGAACTGATCTGGCCCATGCCTTCCAATCACTCCGGACCAGGTGCCAGCATCATGACCCACTCGGGCATTGAAGTCACCCAACAAGATGACTCTATCCTGAGGGGCCACTTTAGCCAGCACCTGTGACAGGAGGTCATAGAAGGCATCTAACTCATCGGCCTTGCCTGCATCCCTCCACGGATATTCATCTTTGGTGGGGGCATAAGTAACCACGACCACCACTCCTCGCCTCTGGTTGATGGGAAGGCGAGCCCAAAGTAGCCTGGGGCTTACAGCTTCCCACACCTCACCGCCACGCTCCCACACCCACTTCATTATTTTGTTCAGAAGAGCCACTCCCTGTTGTTTGGCAGTCTCCTGTCCCGAGTAGAGGACTGTCCACCCCTCATGGTGGCAGGAGCCAGAACCGGTCCACCGGACCTCAAGAATACCACAGAGATCCAGGCGGTACCGGTCCAGCTCCCGACAGAGGAGTGGCAGCCTCTCCTCCGTAGTGAGCATTCCACGTAGCCACACGTAGTGGCTTTTTGTTGTTTCTGGAGGAGCCCCGAGGGTAAAGATTCAATCTCCTGGCTCTGCCAAATGGGGTTTGGCCAGGAGACGTCATAGACACCTGTCCCCCCGGGGCCTCGGCACAAGCTTAGCTGGCTAGCTGTGACCTCGACAGCTGTGTCCTCGACAACCATAGCCTTGACAACTATAACCTTGACAACTACAACCTTGACAACTACAGCCTTGACAACTATAACCTTGACAACTACAACCTTCACAACTATAACCTTGACAACTATAACCTTGACAACTATAACCTTGACAACGATAACCTCAACAACTATAACCTTGACAACTATAACCTTGACAACTATAACCTTGACAAGTATAGCCTCGACAACTATAACCTTGACAACTATAACCTTGACAACTATAACCTTGACAACTATAACCTTGACAATTATAACCTCGACAACTATAACCTTGACAACTATAACCTTGAAAAGCGGTGACCTCAACAGCTATGACCTTGACAAGCGGTGACCTTGACCCCACCCTCTCCCGTCTCACCCCCAGACTCGGTGCAGGTCGCGAGTGGCAGAGAGTGAGCCGAGCATCTGAGGAGCTCCCTCTGCATGTCCACCCCTCGCTCAGCACCACCACCATCATCACCACCATCTCCCTCGAGGGCCTGACGCTCAGCCTTGCACAGAGAGAACTACAGACAGACAGAGAGACACACAGACACACACACAGAGACACACACACACACACAGAGACACACAGACACACACAGACAGAGACACACACACACACAGAGACAGACAGAGACACACACACACAGAGACACACAGACACACACACAGAGACACACACACACAGAGACACACAGACACACACAGACAGAGACACACACACACACAGAGAGACAGAGACACACAGACACACACAGACAGAGACACACACACACACAGAGACAGACAGAGACACACACACACACAGAGACACACACACAGAGACAGACAGAGACACACACACACAGAGACACACACAGAGACAGAGACACACACAGACAGAGACAGACAGACACACACACAGAGACAAAGACACACACACACACACAGACCGACAGACACTCAACAACAACAACAACCGCCATTCGCCACTAAGTGGCGGTGACATCACCACGACGCTTGTGCCAGGCCATGTGCACCATGAGGCCACGTGAAGTGTCGAACGCCCGCTGGCAGGAGGTCACGGGGCAGACCCAGGTGCCACGGGTCGACTGAGATGACTGGCTGGTGCACCACCTGTGCCCCCTACTGTGCCAACCTGCTGTGCTTTAGCCACCCGGCCCTCTGCTCGTTGTTGTGAGCGTCGCTCCTCCGCCCTCCGTTGTTGTTGGAGGGCGACTGCCTCCAACTGCCCAGTAGCGTCCTTCACGAGCCTCCTCCACAGAGGCCGATCTTGACACCGCTGGTACCAGTCATCGGCAAGTCCACTCTGCGTGTCTCTGTGTGTGTCTCTGTCTGTCTGTGTGTCTATCTGTCTGTGTATGTCTCTGTGTGTCTCTCTATCTTTCTGTGTGTCTCTGTCTGTCTGTGTCTCTGTCTGTCTGTATGTGTCTATGTGTGTCTGTGAGTCTCTGTGAGTCTGTGAGACTCTGTGAGTTTTTGTGAGACTCTACGAGTCTCTGCGAGTCTGTGAGACTCTGTGAGTCTCTGTGAGTCTCTGTGAGACTCTGTGAGACTCTGTGAGTCTCTGTGTGTCTCTGTGCGTCTCTGTGAGACTCTGTGAGACTCTGTGAGTCTCTGTGTGTCTCTGTGAGTCTCTGTGAGACTCTTTGAGTCTCTGTGTCTCTGTGGATCTCTGCGAGTCTCTGTGAGCCTCTGTGAGTCTCTGTGAGTCTCTGCGAATCTCTGTGAGTCTCTGTGAGACTCTGTGAGTCTCTGTGAGTCTCTGCGAGTCTCTGTGAGTCTCTGTGAGACTCTGTGAGTCTCTGAGTCTCTGTGAGACTGTGAGTCTCTGTGTGTCTCTGTGAGTCTCTGTGAGTCTCTGTGAGGCGCTGTGAGTCTTTGCGAGCCTCTGTGGGTCTCTGTAGATCTCTGTGAGTCTCTGTGAGACTCTGCGAGTCTCTGTGAGTCTCTGTCTCTGTGAGACTCTGCGAGTCTCTGTGAGAATCTGTGAGTCTCTGTGAGTCTCTGTGAGTCTCTGTGAGACTCTGTGAGTCTCTGTGAGTCTCTGTGAGTCTCTGTGTGTCTCTGTGAGTCTCTGTGAGTCTCTGTGAGGCGCTGTGAGTCTCTGCGAGGCTCTGTGGGTCTCTGTGAGTCTCTGTGAGTCTCTGTAGATCTCTGTGAGTCTCTGTCTCTGTGAGTCTCTGTGAGTCTCTGTAGATCTCTGTGAGTCTCTGTGAGACTCTGTGGGTCTCTGTGAGACTCTGTGGGTCTCTGTGAGTCTCTGTCTCTGTGAGAATCTTTGATTCTCACAGAGATCTCTGTGGGTCTCTGTGAGTCTCTGTCTCTGTGAGTCTCTGTGAGTCTCTGTGAGTCTCTGCGAGTCTCTGTGAGACTCTGTGAGTCTCTGAGTCTCTGTGAGACTGTGAGTCTCTGTGAGTCTCTGTCTCTGTGAGTCTCTGTGAGTCTCTGCGAGACTCTCCGAGTCTCTGTGAGTCTCTGTGAGACTCGGTGAGTCTCTGCGAGTCTCTGTGAGTCTCTGTGAGTCTCTGCGAGTCTCTGTGAGTCTCTGTAGATCTCTGTGAGTCTCTGTGAGTCTCTGTGAGACTCTGTGGGTCTCTGTGAGTCTCTGTCTCTGTGAGTCTCTGTGAGACTCTGTGAGTCTCTGAGTCTCTGTGAGACTGTGAGTCTCTGTGAGTCTCTGTGAGTCTCTGCGAATGTCTCCGAGTCTCTGTGAGTCTTTGTGAGACTCGGTGAGTCTCTGCGAGTCTCTGTGAGTCTCTGTGAGTCTCTGCGAGTCTCTGTGAGTCTCTGTAGATCTCTGTGTGTCTCTGTGAGTCTCTGCGAGTCTCTGTGAGTCTCTGTGAGACTCTGTGAGTCCCTGAGTGACTCTGTGAGTCCCTGAGTCTCTGTGAGACTGTGAGTCTCTGTGTGTCTCTGTGAGACTCTGTGAGTCTCTGTGAGTCTCTGTGAGACTCTGTGAGTCTCTGTGAGACTCCCTCACCTCCTTGCTTGGGCGGCTGAGCGGAGTGAACACCGTCTGGAAGAATGCCCAAAGCAGCATGGCCAGGCTGCCGTGGTAGCTGATGAGGTAGCAGACTAAGGGAGGGACACACACAGAGACTCACCCACTCACCCACTCGCTCACCCACTCAGTCAGTCACTCACCCACTCACTCACCCACTCGCTCACTCACTCAGACTAAGGGAGAGACACACAGAGAGACTCACCCACTCGCTCACCCACTCAGTCAGTCACTCACCCAGTCACTCACTCACCCACTCGCTCACCCACTCACTCACCCACTCACCCACTCACCCACTCACTCACTCAGACTAAGGGAGAGACACACACAGAGACTCACCCACTCGCTCACCCACTCAGTCACTCAGTCACTCAGTCACCCACTCGCTCACTCACTCACCCACTCACTCACTCAGACTAAGGGAGAGACACACACAGACTCACCCACTCACCCACTCGCTCACTCACTCAGTCACTCACTCACCCACTCGCTCACCCACTCAGTCACTCAGACTAGGGGAGAGACACACACAGAGACTCACCCACTCGCTCACTCACTCAGTCACTCACTCATTCACTCACCCACTCACTCACTCAACCACGCGCTCACTTACTCAGTCACTCAGTCACTCACCTCGCTCAACCACTCACTCACTCAGACTAAGGGAGAACCACACACAGAGACTCACCCACTCGCTCACTCACTCAGTCACTCACTCATTCACTCACCCACTCACTCACTCACTCAACCACTCGCTCACTCACTCAGTCACTCACTCATTCACTCACCCACTCACTCACTCACTCAACCACTCGCTCACTTACTCACTCACTCAGTCACTCACTCGCTCAACCACTCACTCACTCAGACTAAGGGAGAACCACACACAGAGACTCACCCACTCGCTCACTCACTCAGTCACTCACTCATTCACTCACCCACTCACTCACTCACTCAACCACTCGCTCACTTACTCACTCACTCACTCAGTCACTCACTCACTCAACCACTCACTCACTCAGACTAAGGGAGAGACACACACAGAGACTCACCCACTCGCTCAACCACTCACTCACTCAGTCACTCACTCATTCACTCAGTCACTCAGTCACTCAACCACTCGCTCACTTACTCAGTCACTCACTCACTCACTCACCCACTCACTCACTCACTCAACCACTTGCTCACCCACTCAGTCACTCACTCACTCAGTCACTCACTCATTCACTCAGTCACTCAGTCACTCAACCACTCGCTCGCTCACTCAGTCACTCACCCACTCACTCACTCAGACTAAGGGAGAGACACACACAGAGACTCACCGACTCACCCACTCGCTCACTCACTCAGTCACTCACTCATTCACTCACCCACTCACTCACTCAACCACTCGCTCACTTACTCAGTCACTCACTCACTCAGTCACTCACTCGCTCAACCACTCACTCACTCATCCACTCGCTCACTCACTCAGTCACTCACTCAACCACTCACTCACTCATCCACTCGCTCACTTACTCACCCGCTCACTCACTCACCCACTCGCTCACTCACGCAGACTAAGGGAGAGACACACACAGAGACTCACCCACTTACCCACTAACTCACCCACTCACTCACTCACCCACTCACTCACCCACTCGCTCACTCAGACTAAGGGAGAGACACATACAGAGACTCACTCACTCACCCACTCGCTCACTCACTCAGTCACTCACTCACTCACTCACCCACTCGCTCAACCACTCACTCATTCACTCACTCACCCACTCGCTCACTCACTCAGACTAAGGGAGAGACACACACAGAGACTCACTCACTCAGTCACTCACTCACTCACCCACTCGCTCAACCACTCACTCATTCACTCACTCACCCACTCGCTCACTCACTCAGACTAAGGGGGAGACACACACAGAGACTCACTCACTCAGTCAGTCACTCACTCACTCGACCACTCACTCACTCAACCACTCGCTCACTTACTCAGTCACCAACTCACTCACTCACTCAACCACTCACTCACTCGCTCGACCACTCACCCACTCACCCACTCGCTCACTTAGTCACCAACTCACTCACTCAATCACTCGCTCGCTCACTCACTTACTCACCCACTCATTCATTCACTCACTCACTCACCCACTCACTCACCCACTCACTCACCCACTCACTCACTTACTCAGTCACCAACTCACTCACTCACTCAACCACTCGCTCGCTCACTCACTCACTCAATCACCCACTCACTCACCCACTCGCTCACTCACTCAGACTAAGGAAGAGACACACACAGAGACTCACCCACTCACCCACTCGCTCACTCACTCACTCACTCGCTCAATCACTCACTCACCCACTCGCTCACTTACTCAGTCACCAACTCTTTCACTCACTCAACCACTCACTCACTCAACCACTCACTCACTTATCCACTCGCTCACTTACTCAGTCACCAACTCACTCACTCAATCACCCACTCGCTCGCTCACTCAGTCACTCACTCACTCAGACTCGGGGAGAGACACACACAGAGACTCACCCACTCACCCACTCGCTCACTCACTCACTCACTCGCTCAACCACTCACTCACCCACTCGCTCACTTACTCAGTCACCAACTCTTTCACTCACTCAACCACTCACTCACTCAACCACTCACTCACTTATCCACTCGCTCACTTACTCAGTCACCAACTCACTCACTCAATCACCCACTCGCTCGCTCACTCAGTCACTCACTCACTCAGACTCGGGGAGAGACACACACAGAGACTCACCCACTCACCCACTCGCTCACTTACTCAGTCACCAACTCACTCCCTCACTCAACCACTTGCTCGCTCACTCAGTCACTCACTCGCTCAACCACTCACTCATCCACTCGCTCACTCACTCAGACTAGGGGAGAGACACACACAGAGACTCACTCACTCACCCACTCACTCACTTACTCACCCACTCAACCACTGACTCACTCAACCAATCACCCACTCACTAATTCAACCACTCGCTCACCCACTCACTCACCCACTCACTCAACCACTCGCTCACCCACTCACTCACCCACTCACTCAACCACTCACTCACCCACTCACTTCACTCACCTACTCATCACCATCCTCACCGCCTTCTGTAGGTTACTAGACAGTCAAGGTCATGAGGTCAATGTCATTAGGGTGTGGTCAGGGTCAAGGTCGCGTATGGTCGGGGTCAAGGTCGCGTGTGGCCAGGGTCAAGGCCACGTGTGGTCGGAGTCAAGGACGCACGTGGTCAGGGTCAAGGTCGTGTGTGGTCGAGGTCGCGTGTGTTAAGGGTCAAGGTCGCGCGTGGTCAAGGTCACGTATGGTCATGGTCAAGGTCGCACGTGGCCAGGGTCGAGGTCACGTGTGGTCGGAGTCAAGGTCGCACGTGGTCGGGGGTCAAGGTCGTGTGTGGTCGAGGTCGCGCGTGGCGAGGGTCAAGGTCGCGTAGGGTCAAGGTCGCGTGCGGTCAGGGTCGCGCGCGGCCGGGGTCAAGGTCGCGTGTGGCGAGGGTCAAGGTCGCGTGCGGCCGGGGTCAAGGTCGCGTGCGGCCGGGGTCAAGGTCGCGTGCGGCCGGGGTCAGTGCCTCACCCTTCTCCGTGGTGTCCGTCACCGTGTCTGGAAAGCAACAGAAGCGGAAAGTCGATTGTGGGAGGCGGCTGGGCGGACAAATCCAAAGAGCCGTGAAGCTCTTTGACCCTTCACCCCCCCCCCACCCCCAATGGCCGTCAGCGAGCGGTGAGCAGTGAGCTGATGGCTCGCTCGCTATCCCTCGCTGTGTGTGTGTGGTGAGTGTGTGGTGAGTGTGTGGTGAGTGTGTGGGTCTCTGTGTGGTGAGTCTGTGGGTGTCTGTGTGGTGAGTCTATGGGTCTCTGTGTGGTGAGTCTGTGGGTCTCTGTGTGGTGAGTCTGTGGGTCTCTGTGTGGTGAGTCTGTGGGTCTCTGTGTGGTGAGTCTGTGGGTCTCTGTGTGGTGAGTCTGTGGGTGTCTGTGTGGTGAGTCTATGGGTCTCTGTGTGGTGAGTCTGTGGGTCTCTGTGTGGTGAGTCTGTGGGTCTCTGTGTGGTGAGTCTGTGGGTTCTCTGTGTGGTGAGTCTGTGGGTCTCTGTGTGGTGAGTCTGTGGGTCTCTGTGTGGTGAGGTCTGTGGTGAGTGTGTGGTGAGTGTGTGGGTCTCTGTGTGGTGAGTGTGTGGTGAGTCTGTGGTGAGTCTATGGGTCTCTGTGTGGTGAGTCTGTGGGTCTCTGTGTGGTGAGTCTGTGGGTCTCTGTTGTGGTGAGTCTGTGGGTCTCTGTGTGGTGAGTCTATGGGTCTCTGTGTGGTGAGTCTGTGGGTCTCTGTGTGGTGAGTCTATGGGTCTCTGTGGTGAGTTTGTGGGTCTCTGTGTGGTGAGTCTATGGGTCTCTGTGTGGTGAGTCTATGGGTCTCTGTGTGGTGAGTCTATGGGTCTCTGTGTGGTGAGTCTATGGGTCTCTGTGTGGTGAGTCTATGGGTCTCTGTGTGGTGAGTCTATGGGTCTCTGTGTGGTGAGTCTAAGGGTCTCTGTGCGGTGAGTCTATGGGTCTCTGTGTGATGAGTCTGTGGGTCTCTGTGTGGTGAGTCTGTGGGTCTCTGTGTGGTGAGTCTGTGGGTCTGTGTGGTGAGTCTGTGGTGAGTGTGTGGTGAGTCTATGGGTCTCTGTGTGGTGAGTCTGTGGTGAGTGTGTGGTGAGTCTGTGGTGAGTGTATGGGTCTCTGTGTGGTGAGTCTGTGGGTCTCTGTGTGGTGAGTCTGTGGGTCTCTGTGTGGTGAGTCTGTGGGTTTCTGTGTGGTGAGTCTGTGGGTCTCTGTGTGGTGAGTCTATGGGTCTCTGTGTGGTGAGTCTGTGGGTCTCTGTGTGGGTGAGTCTATGGGTCTCTGTGTAGTGAGTCTATGGGTTTCTGTGTGGTGAGTCTATGGGTCTCTGTGTGGTGAGTCTATGGGTCTCTGTGTGGTGAGTCTATGAGTCTCTGTGTGGTGAGTCTGTGGGTCTCTGTGTGGTGAGTCTGTGGGTCTCTGTGTGGTGAGTCTGTGGTGAGTGTGTGGTGAGTCTATGGGTCTCTGTGTGGTGAGTCTGTGGTGAGTGTGTGGTGAGTCTGTGGTGAGTGTATGGGTCTCTGTGTGGTGAGTCTGTGGGTCTCTGTGTGGTGAGTCTATGGGTCTCTGTGTGGTGAGTCTGTGGGTTTCTGTGTGGTGAGTCTGTGGGTTTCTGTGTGGTGAGTCTATGGGTCTCTGTGTGGTGAGTATGTGGGTCTCTGTGTGGGTGAGTCTATGGGTCTCTGTGTAGTGAGTCTATGGGTTTCTGTGTGGTGAGTCTATGGGTCTCTGTGTGGTGAGTCTATGGGTCTCTGTGTGGTGAGTCTATGGGTCTCTGTGTGGTGAGTCTATGGGTCTCTGTGTGGTGAGTCTATGGTGAGTGTGTGGTGAGTCTATGGGTCTCTGTGTGGTGAGTCTGTGGGTCTCTGTGTGGTGAGTCTATGGGTCTCTGTGTGTGGTGAGTCTATGGGTCTCTGTGTGGTGAGTCTGTGGGTCTCTGTGTGGTGAATCTATGAGTCTCTGTGTGGTGAGTCTATGGGTCTCTGTGTGGTGAGTCTGCGGGTCTCTGTGTGGTTGAGTCTATGGGTCTCTGTGTAGTGAGTCTATGGGTCTCTGTGTGGTAAGTCTATGGGTATCTGTGTGGTGAGTCTATGGGTCCTCTGTGTGGTGAGTCTATGAGTCTCTGTGTGATGATTCTGTGGGTCTCTGTTGGTGAGTCTATGGGTCTCTGTGTGGTGAGTCTATGGGTCTCTGTGTGGTGAGTCTGTGGGTCTCTGTGTGATGAGTCTATGGGTCTCTGTGTGGTGAGTCTATCGGTCTCTGTGTGGTGAGTCTATGGGTCTCTGTGTTGTGAGTCTATGGGTCTCTGTGTGGTGAGTCTGTGGGTCTCTGTGTGGTGAGTCTGTGGGTTTCTGTGTGGTGAGTCTGTGGATCTCTGTGTGGTGAGTCTATAGGTCTCTGTGTGGTGAGTCTCTGGGTCTCTGTGTGGTGAGTCTATGGGTCTCTGTGTGGTGAGACTGTGGGTCTTTGTGTGGTGAGTCTATGGGTCTCTGTGTGGTGAGTCTATGGGTCTCTGTGTGGTGAATCTGTGGGTCTCTGTGTGGTGAGTCTGTGGGTCTCTGTGTGGTGAGTCTATGGGTCTCTGTGTGGTAAATCTATGGGTCTCTGTGTGGTGAATCTGTGGGTCTCTGTGTGGTGAGTCTGTGGGTCTCTGTGTGGTGAGTCTGTGGGTTTCTGTGTGGTGAGTCTGTGGGTCTCTGTGTGGTGAGTCTATGCGTCTCTGTGTGGTGAGTCTGTGGGTCTCTGTGTGGGTGAGTCTATGGGTCTCTGTGTGGTGAGTCTATGAGTCTCTGTGTGATGATTCTGTGGGTCTCTGTGTGGTGAGTCTATGGGTCTCTGTGTGGTGAGTCTATGGGTCTCTGTGTGGTGAGTCTATGGGTCTCTGTGTGGTGAGTCTATGGGTCTCTGTGTGATGAGTCTATGGGTCTCTGTGTGGTGAGTCTATGGGTCCTCTGTGTGGTGAGTCTATGGTCTCTGTGTGGTGAGTCTATGGGTCTCTGTGTGATGAGTCTGTGGGTCTCTGTGTGGTGAGTCTATGGGTCTCTGTGTGGTGAGTCTATGGGTCTCTGTGTGGTGAGTCTATGGGTCTCTGTGTGATGAGTCTATGGGTCTCTGTGTGGTGAGTCTATGAGTCTCTGTGTGATGATTCTGTGGGTCTCTGTGTGGTGAGTCTATGGGTCTCTGTGTGGTGAGTCTATGAGTCTCTGTGTGGTGAGTCTGTGGGTCTCTGTGTGGTGAGTCTGTGGGTCTCTGTGTGGTGAGTCTGTGGTGAGTGTGTGGTGAGTCTATGGGTCTCTGTGTGGTGAGTCTGTGGTGAGTGTGTGGTGAGTCTGTGGTGAGTGTATGGGTCTCTGTGTGGTGAGTCTGTGGGTCTCTGTGTGGTGAGTCTATGGGTCTCTGTGTGGTGAGTCTGTGGGTGACTGTGTGGTGAGTCTGTGGGTTTCTGTGTGGTGAGTCTATGGGTCTCTGTGTGGTGAGTATGTGGGTCTCTGTGTGGGTGAGTCTATGGGTCTCTGTGTAGTGAGTCTATGGGTTTCTGTGTGGTGAGTCTATGGGTCTCTGTGTGGTGAGTCTATGGGTCCTCTGTGTGGTGAGTCTATGGGTCTCTGTGTGGTGAGTCTATGGGTCTCTGTGTGGTGAGTCTATGGTGAGTGTGTGGTGAGTCTATGGGTCTCTGTGTGTGAGTCTGTGGGTCTCTGTGTGGTGAGTCTATGGGTCTCTGTGTGTGGTGAGTCTATGGGTCTCTGTGTGGTGAGTCTGTGGGTCTCTGTGTGGTGAGTCTATGAGTCTCTGTGTGGTGAGTCTATGGGTCTCTGTGTGGTGAGTCTGCGGGTCTCTGTGTGGTTGAGTCTATGGGTCTCTGTGTAGTGAGTCTATGGGTCTCTGTGTGGTAAGTCTATGGGTATCTGTGTGGTGAGTCTATGGGTCTCTGTGTGGTGAGTCTATGAGTCTCTGTGTGATGATTCTGTGGGTCTCTGTGTGGTGAGTCTATGGGTCTCTGTGTGGTGAGTCCTAATGGGTCTCTGTGTGGTGAGTCTTGTGGGTCTCTGTGTGATGAGTCTATGGGTCTCGTGTGTGGTGAGTCTATCGGTCTCTGTGTGGTGAGTCTATGGGCTCTGTGTTGTGAGTCTATGTGGTCTCTGTGTGGTGAGTCTGGGGGTCTCTGTGTGGTGAGTCTGTGGGTTCTGTGTGGTGAGTCCTGTGGATCTCTGTGTGGTGAGTCTATAGGTCTCTGTGTGGTGAGTCTCTGGGTCTCTGTGTGGTGAGTCTATGGGTCTCTGTGTGGTGAGACTGTGGGTCTTTGTGTGGTGAGTCTATGGGTCTCTGTGTGGTGAGTCTATGGGTCTCTGTGTGGTGAATCTGTGGGTCTCTGTGTGGTGAGTCTGTGGGTCTCTGTGTGGTGAGTCTATGGGTCTCTGTGTGGTAAGTCTATGGGTCTCTGTGTGGTGAATCTGTGGGTCTCTGTGTGGTGAGTCTGTGGGTCTCTGTGTGGTGAGTCTGTGGGTTTCTGTGGGTGAGTCTGTGGGTCTCTGTGTGGTGAGTCTATGCGTCTCTGTGTGGTGAGTCTGTGGGTCTCTGTGTGGGTGAGTCTGATGGGTCTCTGTGTGGTGAGTCTATGAGTCTCTGTGTGATGATTCTGTGGGTCTCTGTGTGGTGAGTCTATGGGTCTCTGTGTGGTGATCTATGGGTTCTCTGTGTGGTGAGTCTATGGGTCTCTGTGTGGTGAGTCTATGGGTCTCTGTGTGATGAGTCTATGGGTCTCTGTGTGGGTGAGTCTATGGGTCTCTGTGTGGTGAGTCTATGGGTCTCTGTGTGGTGAGTCTATGGGTCTCTGTGTGATGATTCTGTGGGTCTCTGTGTGGTGAGTCTATGGGTCTCTGTGTGGTGAGTCTATGGGTCTCTGTGTGGTGAGTCTATGGGTCTCTGTGTGATGAGTCTATGGGTCTCTGTGTGGTGAGTCTATGAGTCTCTGTGTGATGATTCTGTGGGTCTCTGTGTGGTGAGTCTATGGGTCTCTGTGTGATGAGTCTGTGGGTCTCTGTGTTGTGAGTCTATGAGTCTCTGTGTGGTGAGTCTATGGGTCTCTGTGTGGTGAGTCTATGGGTCTCTGTGTGGTGAGTCTGTGGGTCTCTGTGTGGTGAGTCTATGGGTCTCTGTGTGGTGAGTCTATGGGTCTCTGTGTGGTGAGTCTATGAGTCTCTGTGTGATGAGTCTATGGGTCTCTGTGTGGTGAGTCTATGGGTCTCTGTGTGGTGAGTCTATGGGTCTCTGTGTGGTGAGTCTATGGGTCTCTGTGTGATGAGTCTATGGGTCTCTGTGTGGTGAGTCTATGAGTCTCTGTGTGATGATACTGTGGGTCTCTGTGTGGTGAGTCTATGGGTCTCTGTGTGATGAGTCTATGGGTCTCTGTGTGATGAGTCTATGGGTCTCTGTGTGGTAAGTCTATGGGTCTCTGTGTGATGAGTCTATGGGTCTCTGTGTGGTGAGTCTATGAGTCTCTGTGTGATGATACTGTGGGTCTCTGTGTGGTGAGGTCTATGGGTCTCTGTGTTGATGAGTCTATGGGTCTCTGTGTGATGAGTCTATGGGTCTCTGTGTGATGAGGGTCTATGGTGTCTCCTGTGTGTGATGAGTCTATGGGTCTCCTGTGATGATGAGGCTATGGGGTCTCTGTGTGGTGAGTCCTATGGGTCTCTGTGTGGTGAGTCTATGGGTCTCTGTGTGGTGAGTCTATGGGTCTCTGTGTGGTGAGTCTATGGGTCTCTGTGTAGTGAGTCTATGGGTCTCTGTGTGATGAGTCTATGGGTCTCTGTGTGGTGAGTCTATGGGTCTCTGTGTGGTGAGTCTGTGGCAAAACACTTTAGCGCAGAGCACCGACGATAGTAGTAGTGTAGTAGTGGTAGTACTAGTAGTAGTACTAGTGGTACTTACACAGGCAGAGAGGTAGGAGGTAGGCGTAGTAGTAGTAGTAGTGTAGTAGTAGTGTAGTAGTAGTAGTGTAGTAGTAGTGGTAGTGTAGTAGTAGTAGTGATAGTAGTAGTGGTACTAGTACTAGTGGTACTTACACAGGCATAGAGGTAGGAGGTAGGCATAGTAGTGGTAGTGTAGTAGTAGTGGTAGTGTAGTAGTAGTGTAGTGGTAGTGTAGTAGTAGTGGTAGTAGTAGTGGTAGTGTAGTAGTAGTGTAGTAGTAGTGGTAGTGTAGTAGTAGTAGTAGTAGTAGTGTAGTGGTAGTGTAGTAGTAGTGGTAGTGTAGTAGTAGTGTAGTAGTAGTGGTAGTCTAGTAGTAGTGGTAGTGTAGTAGTAGTAGTGTAGTAGTGTAATAGTGGTAGTGTAGTAGTAGTGGTAGTGTAGTAGTGGTAATGTAGTAGTAGTAGTGTAGCAGTAGTGGTAGTAGTAGTGTAGTAGTAGTAGTGTAGTAGTAGTGGTAGTAGCAGTGGTAGTGTAGTAGTAGTGTAGTAGTAGTGGTAGTAGTAGTGATAGTAGTAGTGGTAGTAGTAGTGATAGTAGTAGTGTAGTAGTTTGGTGCTAGTAGTACTAGTGGTACTAGTAGTGGTACTTACACAGACAGAGGTAGGAGGTAGGCATAGTAGTGGTAGTGTAGTAGTGGTAGTGTAGTGGTAGTGTAGTAGTAGTGGTAGTAGTAGTGGTAGTGTAATAGTAGTACTAGTAGTAGTGGTACTTACACAGGCAAAGAGGTAGTAGGTAGGCGTAGTAGTGGTAGTGTAGTAGTAGTGGTAGTAGTAGTGGTACTAGTAGTAGTACTAGTAGTGTAGTAGTAGTAGTAGTGTAGAAGTAGTAGTGTAGTAGTAGTAGTGGTACTAGTAGTAGTACTAGTGGTACTTACACAGACATAGAGGCAGGAGGTAGGCGTAGTAGTGGTAGTGTAGTAGTAGTGGTAGTGTATTAGTAGTGTAGTAGTAGTAGTAGTGGTAGTAGTAGTGTAGTGGTAGTGTAGTAGAAGTAGTGTAGTAGTAGTGGTAGTAGTAGTGTAGTAGTAGTGTAGTACTAGTAGTACTAGTACTAGAGGTTCTTACACAGACATAGAGGTAGGAGGTAGGTGTAGTAGTGGTAGTGTAGTAGTAGTAGTGTAGTAGTAGTGGTACTAGTAGTAGTACTAGTAGTAGTAGTGGTAGTGTAGTAGTAGTGGTAGTGTAGTAGTAGTGTAGTAGTAGTAGTGTAGTAGTAGTAGTGTAGTAGTGTAGTAGTAGTGTAGTAGTAGTGGTAGTGTAGCAGTAGTGGTAGTGTAGTAGTAGTAGTGTAGTAGTAGTGTAGTAGTGTAGTAGTAGTAGTAGTAGTGGTAGTGTAGTAGTAGTGTAGTAGTGTAGTAGTAGTGTAGTAGTAGTGGTAGTAGTGTTGTAGTAGTAGTGTAGTAGTAGTGTTGTAGTAGTAGTACTAGTAGTAGTGTAGTAGTAGTGTAGTAGTAGTGGTAGTGTAGTAGTAGTAGTGTAGTAGTGGTACTAGTACTAGTAGTAATTGTACTACTAGTACTAGAGGTACTCACACAGACAAAAAGGTAGGAGGTAGGTGTAGTAGTGGTAGTGTAGTAGTAGTAGTGTAGTAGTAGTGTGTGGTAGTGGTACTAGTACTAGTAGAGGTACTCACACACACAAAGAGGTAGGCGTAGTAGTGGTAGTGTAGTAGTAGTGTAGTACTAGTGTAATAGTAGTGGTACTAGTACTAGTGGTACTTACACACACAAAGAGGTAGCAGGTAGGCGTAGTAGTGGTAGTGTAGTAGTAGTAGTGTAGTAGTAGTGTAGTAGTGGTAGTGTAGTAGTAGTGTGTGGTAGTGGTACTAGTAGTGGTAGGCGTAGTAGTGGTAGTGTAGTAGTAGTAGTGTAGTAGTAGTGTAGTAGTAGTAGTGTAGTAGTAGTGTGTGGTACTAGTACTAGTAGTAGTAGAGGTACTCACACACACAAAGAGGTAGGAGGTAGGCGTAGTAGTGGTAGTAGTGTAGTAGTGTAGTAGTAGTGTAGTACTAGTGTAATAGTAGTGGTACTAGTACTAGTGGTACTTACACACACAAAGAGGTAGGAGGTAGGCGTAGTAGTAGTAGTGTAGTAGTAGTGTAGTAGTAGTGGTAGTGTAGTAGTAGTAGTGGTAGTAGTGTAGTAGTGGTAGGCGTAGTAGTGGTAGTGTAGTACTAGTGTAATAAGTAGTGGTACTAGTACTAGTGGTACTTACACACACAAAGAGGGTAGCAGGTAGGCGTAGTAGTGGTAATGTAGTAGTAGTGTAAGTACTAGTAGTGGTACTAGTAGTGTAGTAGTAGTGTAGTACTAGTGTAATAGTAGTGGTACTAGTACTAGTGGTACTTACACACACAAAGAGGTAGCAGGTAGGCGTAGTAGTGGTAATGTAGTAGTAGTGTAGTAGTAGTGGTAGTGTAGTAGTAGTGGTAATGTAGTGGTAGTGTAGTAGTGTAGTAGTAGTGTAGTAGTAGTGGTGCTAGTACTAGTAGTGGTACTAGTACTAGTAGTACTAGAGGTACTTACACACACAAAGAGGTAGGAGGTAGGTGTAGTAGTGGTAGTGTAGTAGTAGTGTAGTACTAGTGGTACTAGTACTAGTGGTACTAGTACTAGTGGTACTTACACACACAAAGAGGTAGGAGGTAGGCGTAGTAGTGGTAATGTAGTAGTAGTGTAGTAGTAGTGGTAGTGTAGTAGTAGTGGTAATGTAGTGGTAGTGTAGTAGTAGTGTAGTAGTAGTAGTGTAGTAGTAGTGGTGCTAGTACTAGTAGTGGTACTAGTACTAGTAGTACTAGAGGTACTTACACACACAAAGAGGTAGGAGGTAGGCGTAGTAGGCCCAAGCCAGGACTCCACAGATGAAGACCACGGGCAGCCAGGACAGCAGTGAACAGCCTCGCAGAGACATCAACTCCTCCTCCTCCTCCTCACCACCTCCTCCTCCTCCTCACCACCTCCTCCTCCTCCTCACCACCTCCTCACCACCTACTCACCACCAACACCAATACCGAATTGCCCGATGATGCTGGATGTATTTACCAGCGAAACGTCGTACTCAAACTGTAAATGTGGATTCACTCTTCAACACACCGGTGGGCTGAAGCAGTGAATTATTTGTCTTTTGTCAACGTGACACTTTTTTTGCTGATTGGCCGTGTCGGGTGGTGGAGGGTTACGACACATTTATAAATAAACGCGATCTAACCCAAAAACCTTTATTATGACCAATACCTACTCACCACCTCCTCCTCCTCACCACCTCCTCCTCACCACCTCCTCCTCCTCCTCACCACCTCCTCCTCCTACTCACCACCTCCTCCTACTCACCACCTCCTCCTACTCACCACCTCCTCCTACTCACCACCTCCTCCTCCTCACCACCTCCTCCTCCTCACCTCCTCCTCCTCACCACCTCCTCCTCCTCCTCACCACCTCCTCCTCACCACCTACTCACCACCACCAACACCAATACCTACTCACCACCTCCTCCTCACCACCTCCTCACCACCTCCTCCTCCTCCTCACCACCTACTCACCACCACCACACCACCACCTACTCACCACCAACACCTACTCACCACCAACACCAACACCAATACCTACTCACCACCTACTCACCACCTCCTCCTCACCACCTACTCACCACACCTACTCACCACCACCAACACCAACACCTACTCACCACCACCACCACCTACTCACCACCAACACCACCACTTACTCACCACCTCCTCCTCCTCCTCCTCACCACCTCCTCCTCACCACCTACTCACCAACACCACCTACTCACCACCAACACCACCACCTACTCACCACCACCAACACCACCTACTCACCACCAACACCACCACCTACTCACCACCTACTCACCACCACCTACTCACCACCACCAACACCTCCTCACCTCCTCCTCACCAACTCCTCCTCACCACCACCTACTCACCACCACCCACTACTCACTACCAACACCAACTACTCACCACCACCTACTCACCACCACCTACTCACCACCACCAACACCTCCTCACCTCCTCCTCACCAACTCCTCCTCACCACCCACTACTCACCACCAACACCAACACCACCTACTCACCACCACCTACTCACCACCACCTACTCACCACCTCCTCACCACCACAACCTACTCACCACCTACTCACCACCTACTCACCACCACCTCCTCCTCACCACCATCACCACCTACTCACCACCACCAACACCTACTCACCACCTACTCACCACCACCAACACCACCACCACCTACTCACCACCTACTCACCACCACCAACACCTACTCACCACCTACTCACCACCACCAACACCTACTCACCACCTACTCACCACCACCAACACCATCACCACCTACTCACCACCACCTACTCACCACCACCAACACCTACTCACCACCTACTCACCACCACCAAGACCACCTACTACTCACCACCTACTCACCACCAACACCTACTACTCACCACCTACTCACCACCATCACCACCAACGCCACCTACTCACCACCACCAACTACTCACCACCACCTACTCACCACCTACTCACCACCTACTCACCACCACCAACACCATCACCACCACCACCTACTCACCACCACCAACACCTACTCACCACCTACTCACCACCACCAACACCACCTACTACTCACCACCTACTCACCACCAACACCTACTACTCACCACCTACTCACCACCAACGCCACCTACTCACCACCACCACCAACTACTCACCACCACCTACTCACCACCTACTCACCAACACCAACACCACCTACTACTCACCACCTACTCACCAACACCACCTCCTCACCACCACCACCTCCTCACCACCTCCTCACCACAGTCCCCGTGTCTCTGTCTCCCCGTGTCTCTGTCTCCCCGTGTCCCTGTCTCTGTGTGTGTCTGTCTGTGTCTCTCTGTGTGTGTCTGCGTGTATCTGTGTCTGTGTGTGTGTCTCTCTGTGTCTGTGTGTGTCTCTGTCTGTGTGTCTGTGTGTGTCTCTGTCTGTGTGTCTGTGTGTATCTCTGTCTGTGTGTCTATCTCTCTGTGTCTGTCTCTGTGTATCTGTGTCTGTGTGTCTCTGTCTGTGTGTATCTCTGTCTGTGTGTGTCTATCTCTCTGTGTCTGTGTATATCTGTGTCTCTGTCTGTGTATGTTTATCTGTCTGTGTCTGTGTGTGTCTCTGTCTGTGTGTGTCTATCTCTCTGTTTCTGTCTCTGTCTGTGTGTATCTGTGTCTGTGTGTCTCTGTCTGTGTGTGTATCTGTGTCTGTGTGTATCTGTGTCTGTGTGTCTGTGTGTATCTGTCTGTGTGTATCTCTGTCTGTGTGTATCTGTGTGCCTCTGTCTGTGTGTCTGTGTGTATCTGTGTCTATCTCTGTGTGTATCTGTGTCTGTGTGTATCTGTGTCTGTGTGTATCTGTGTCTCTGTCTGTGTGCCTCTGTCTGTGTGTCTGTGTGTATCTGTGTCTATCTCTGTGTGTGTGTGTCTATCTGTGTCTGTGTGTGTCTGTGTCTGTGTGTATCTGTGTCTGTGTGTATCTGTGTCTGTGTGTATCTGTGTCTGTGTGTGTATCTGTGCCTATCTCTCTGTGTCTGTGTGTCTATCTGTCTGTGTCTATCTCTCTGTGTCTGTGTCTCTGTCTGTGTGTATCTGTCTGTGTCTGTGTGTATGTGTGTGTCTGTGTGTCTCTGTGTGTCTCTGTCTGTGTCTGTGTGTATCTGTGTGTCTCTTGTCTGTCTCTGTCTGTGTGTATCTGTGTGTCTGTGTCTGTGTGTATCTGTGTGTATCTGTGTGTCTCTGTCTGTGTCTGTGTGTATCTGCGTCTGTGTGTATCTGTGTCTGTGTGTCTCTGTCTGTCTCTGTATGTGTCTATCTGTGTCTATCTGTGTCTGTGTGTCTCTTTCTGTCTCTGTCTGTGTGTGTCTGTGTCTGTGTGTATCTGTGTCTGTGTGTCTCTGTCTGTCTCTGTCTGTCTCTGTCTGTGTGTGTCTGTGTCTGTGTGTATCTGTGTGTCTCTGTCTGTGTGTATCTGTGTGTCTCTGTCTGTGTCTGTGTGTATCTGTGTTTGTGTGTCTCTGTCTGTCTCTGTCTGTGTCTCTGTCTGTGTGTCTGTGTGTCTCTGTCTGTCCTGTCTGTGTCTGCCGCTTCCTCGTCCCCGGCTCCGCGATGACGCCGCGGCCGCCATCTTGGTCAGGGACGTGGGGAGGAGGGGGAGAGTGGAGGGAGGGGGGAGGGAGGGGGGGAGAGGGAAGGTGGGCGGGGCGAGAGGGAAGGTGGGCGGGGCAAGAGGGAAGGTGGGCGGGGTCAGGGCGGGGTGAGGGCGGGGCGAGGGCGCCGCGCGTTTCCACAGCAACGGTGGCGATAGGCTGGGCCCCTACCTAAGATGGCTGCCGCGACTACGTGCGGGGAATGAGAGGGTGGGGGGGGGGAAATCCTCACGAGCGCACGCCATTGGCTGAGCTCGCGTACCACGTGGTGCGGTTCCTCTAAGCCAATCACGCGCGTCGTGGCGGAGCAAATCGAATTCCGCAGCGCGGATAGGCGATTTGTATTTCCCAGTTCGGATTAGCGACCCGCTAATATACCTAGAAGTTCTACATTAATAGTTTGAAAGATATATCTTCTGATTGTAGAATATTTTTTATTCAAATTTTGATAGATATATCTTCTGGTTGTGCAAGATATCTTCTGGTTGTGGAAGATAACTTCTGGTTGTGGAAGAGATCTTCTGGTTGTGGAAGATAACTTCTGGTTATGGAAGATATCTTCTGGTTCTGGAAGAGATCTTCTGGTTGTGGAAGATAACTTCTGGCAGAACCTCCACGTGGTTTGGGGAAGGTCAGAGGAGAAACGGAGACACAGACACAGAGACACACACAGAGACACAGAGAGAGACAGACACACACAGAGACACAGAGACACACACAGAGACACACAGCGACACACACAGAGACACACACAGAGACACATAGACACACAGCGACACACACAGACACAGAGACACACAGACACACACAGAGACACACACAGACACACAGACACAGAGAGACAGAGACACAGAGAGACACACAGAGAGACACACACAGAGACACAGAGAGAGACACAGAGAGAGACACAGAGAGAGACAGACACACACAGAGACACACACAGAGACACATAGACACACACAGACACACACAGAGACACACAGACACACAGAGACACACAGACACACAGAGACACACAGAGAGACAGAGAGACAGAGACACACAGGCACACAGACACAGAGACACAGACACACAGAGAGAGACACAGACACACAGAGACAGACACACAGAGACACAGACACAGTGACACAGTGACACAGAGACACAGTGACACAGAGACACAGTGACACAGAGACACAGACACAGAGACACAGAGACACAGTGACAGAGACACAGAGACACAGTCACACAGAGACACAGTCACACAGTGACACAGAGACACAGTGACACAGAGACACAGAGACAGAGACACACAGACACAGAAACAGAGACAGAGACACAGACACACAGACACAGAGACACAGACACACAGACAGAGACACAGACACACAGAGACAGAGACAAGGAGACAGACAAGGGGCAAGCAGAGAAGAAATGGACGAAGCACAGATGCAGATGCGAAACGTACGGACTGTCTGTGTGTGTGGTGTGTGTGTCTATGTGTGTGTATGTGTGTGTGTCTGTGTGTGTGTGTGATTGTGTGTGTGTCTGTGTGTGTGTCTGTGTGTATGTGTGTGTGTCTGTGTGTGTGTCTGTGTGTGTTTGTGTGTGTGGTGTGTGTGTCTGTGTGTCTGTGTGTGTGTCTGTGTGTGTGTGTGTCTGTGTGTGTGTGTCTGTGTGTGTGTCTGTGTGTCTGTGTGTGTCTGTGTGTGTGTGTCTGTGTGTGTCTGTGTGTGTGTGTCTGTGTGTGTGTGTCTCTGTGTGTGT